CTTATTATAGTATATCTCTAAGGTACTGTAACTTCATACGCTTTATAGTTTATTAATTAGCAGTTCAGGTGAATTGTTTATAATTGATAGTACAATCACATTCTGGACTCTATTTCTTATCTCTTCACGATATATTCATTACTCTCCTACTCATATCTCGAAATAAACAAATAGAATACTGTTTTGTACTATTTCTATAATAGTTCAAAATGGTATTTAAAAAAAATATGCTACTAATCTAATACCTAAACTGAAATAACTTTGTATGGATATTTCCAAATGTAATTGAAATATGATGTACAGGATAAAAAAATAACGAAATGTTTATAAACGTATTCTTATAATTCAAATTATATTAATATTAAGCATACAAATATACCAAATATCAAAATTTGTTTGGTAGCAGCCTGAATGAGGTTCAGACCTAATACCATAGAAAAATAATACTAGGTACTCAATTCGTTTCTAAGTTAATAGTAAGAATTATTAAGATAACGGCTACACAAACGCACGCTACAAGGAGAATACCCATACTTTCTCAAACTGCTAAAATCAATCTCATTTAGCTTGGCAGTAGTGGGGTTATAAATTTAATTAAAGGATACCAAATGTACTGTGTAGTGTTACGTATTAGAAAGCTAAATCTCTATTAACATACTAGAGGAAAAATTTATATCAAGTTAGAGTAATAAAATTGCGGAGGTTTTTATTATGAAGATCTAGGTATCGTAATGAGATTTACAAACAAGCGTATTTAAATTGTGTTATCTCTATGACTACTTTATATTCTGACTTCGTTGGAGGACCCTTATATTTACTATTATATTCAATACAATTTAAATATTCGCTCAGAGATACCACGCATAGCTTTATTAAATTTTATTTTAAAATTCAATGTTGGAGTATGAAGAAATATTCTTTTGTAAACAACAATTTAGTTCGAGCATTGACAACCATTTATTTCATCATATTTAATCGTTTTATCCATTCGTAGGTATAGCTAGTATACATATACATTTAGTAGTATATGTTTTCTCTTCGTAATTTTCTTCAAATTTAGTTTTTTTTTATAATCAAAGGCTGTAAATTAAATCTTGAGCTTCTTCAATTGTGAACTAATAATTACCGGAAGTTATTTAATTTACCAACTAATCAGAAAACATATCTTTATTCTATATGACCTCTTCCTCTTCTTACAATGGTCTCCCAAAAATACAAATAATATGTTTTAGTTTTATAATACAAGTCTATAATACAACTCAAAATTAAAATTAAAATAATATTTTTATTTGTAAAACATTTAACATAATTTTATAGTGTTTTATTTTTTCGTTTCAATGTAAACACGAAAATATGCGAATGTTAAATATATATATTTTTAATTTTGATTCTAGACTATTTGTTATGTAGGCGGCACTAATATTAAGTGTAATATTATTATGTTAATTTGTTTGAAAACTTATCTGTAAACTAAAGGCGTGGTACGTAAATTTAATATTTCATTTCTAATCCTACGCAAATCCATTCCAAGGGAGATTACTACCTATTGTGACTTTTGCCGGGTGTATAATTAGAACTGTAAATAGAATTTTGATTATAAAACTAGCATTATTTTATTAATTATTGTTTGGTGATAAGGGTCCCGATATTTTATTGTTATAATGTTTAGTGACGATTTGACGTCACTATCTATAATATAGGTACACAAGAATTTTTTTTTATACCACTTAGGTGGCAAACAAGCATACGTCCCATCTGATGGTAAACGGTTACCGTAGCCTAGGGACGCCTGAAACACCAGGGGTGTCACATACGCGTTGCCGACCCTTAAGAAACCTTAATATACCCTTCTTGAAAAACCCCATGCTGTAGTCTCTCGAGATAACCTCGGCAGGTAGTTCATTCTATAATCTAAGTGTACGCGGGAGGAAGCTCTCTGTAACCGCACTGTCCGAGACCACTTAGGTTCCAGCGTGTGGGGATGAATTCCCTGTCGATGGCGAGCGGTGCGATGGTAAACGGTAGCCGTAGGCATCATGTCAAACAATTCATCAAAACACAGTTCGTTGAATATTCGGTAGAACATACAAAGCGATGCGAAGTCTAAGTTTAAGTTATAGTATTAGTTAGACTTTCGAATGTCGTGAGATTGAGTTAATGGACAGAGAAATTAAGGGGCGTCATAAAGGTTCCGATTTAATTTTTTTGGTTCTCAACGAACTGAAATCCACGTCGTATTACATTGTTATCTTGGAAACAACTTGAAAATTGTGGTTGATTTGTACCTTGTATCTGGTAAAATAGTTTTTTTTTATAAAAATATGACAAGCAGCTCGATATGACAAGGACCTAAGTAGGTCCTTCTAATTAATTGAACTTTTTTTTGTAGTTCTTCAGTACGTCTAACTAGTACAAAACTGGGGAAACTATTCCTTTACTCCAGTATATATTCACCAATAATAATATATTATAATTATTTTAATTAAAAAAAAAACGATAACACTTGTATTAAAAGTTAGATTATTTTAAACTTGAATTAATTTTAAATTTTATTGCCTAACGTTGGATAAATAAAATAAATAATTATTAAAGTTTCAGAAATGAAGCAATGCGGTAAAAGTATTGTATTTCATAAAAAATTAACAAGATTGCTACGTTAAAAATCTCCGGGTGAGCGTTAATATAATGAAAATTATTAAAGTTTAGATCTCTTTCTGAAATTCGTATTATCCAGGGAACGTTTTAACGTTGAAATTGGAGTAAGCGGGTGTAGGCGACGGAATGAAACTAAGCAACACTGACATAATATTATTATTAAGCGTTAAATTTTAGTACGCGACCATATATGCGAATGGTTAATTTGACTTTTTTAGTTTTAATATACATTTATATACTTGATAAGTATCTCTATTGAACGGTAATTTCATTGGAGAAAAGTTACAGTTGAAAATAAGAAAAGTTTAACAACTTATACATTATGTAGTTGTGAAGCTTCGCTTATTTTCAACTGTCGCACAGGATGTGTTCTATTCTATTTTTAATATATATTTTTTATAATCTTTAAATATAATATACCAGTTGTGTATCTTGCCAATTCTTCTCATTTGAAGTAGCTAGCCAAAACTGGATGATATGAGTAGTCATAATGAAATATTTCATAATAAAATCTATAAATAAATAAACAAGTATACAGACTGAATATGAGCAAAATTATCAGATGTATTTGATGAACCGAAATACGTTAATTATCAATTATATTATATTTATACCTTTTCAAGTATGTCAATCTTTGTAAGTTTAATTCTACAACGCATTTCTTCTAGACTACATATCTCATATAATCATATTATCAGGCATTAAATTTGTGCTGAGTACGTAAATGTGGTGATAAAAGATGAGCTGATCATTAAATGGATGAGAGACATTATGTTCCGCACTTGGTATCGAGAAATAGTATATGATAAACTAGTTACTTGCCCCGACTTCTTCAGGGTGTACATGTATTATACATATAAACCTTCGTCTTATATTACTCTATCTATTCAAAATCCGTTGCGTAGTTTTAAAGATTTAACCATACATAAGGACGGAGAAACAGAGAGGGAATTAACCACGAAGAGTTCTATTTTTAATGAAATTGTGCAGATAAATATTTATAATAGAAATTCTATTAAATTAAAAATAGACATATTTAATGGAACTTTAACTATAATACCATTAATAGTGATGTTGTTACACAAACTATGTTGTTGCAACATTAGCATTTAATTGTACATTGTGTATTTGTGTAGTGATGTTTGTTGTTACGATAGTTACGGTACGTTTCAAAGAAGCTTTTTTATTTAAATGAATAGGCCTTAGGCCTAATTTACGCACGTTTACATCCAAAATTAGATAATAGGAAATTAAATTTCAACAACTAGGTATTTTTAATTCCCGCTTTGCACCAACGGTTTATAAAGGGACACCAGCGGAAGATAAGCATGAAATCATCATGAAGCAGTTAGCTGGTCGTGGTCAATTTACTAGGAGTGTTATTACATAAAATATGACATCCTTTGTATGTATTTTATTTTATTTCACTTAACCTATATCCATAATAAAAACAGCTATCAAAGATTTCAATAAAAAATAAAAAGTAAAATGGTTTGGTGATATGATTAATTAATATACTAAAAATCTAGTTACATTTTTTATTAATGGCATATCAGTCAATTTAGAATTAGAAAAAGTACAGGGGATATCTGTTATATATATACTAATATATATGTATATAAAATTTGTATACATACATATATATACAAATTATTATTCAGGGACAATAACTAATATACTACGACAACACTGGCTATAAATACCTACTTAATAAATACAATAAAAAATTGAAAATTATTCCTAGATAAGTAACAGTATTATATATTTGATAAGAATAAAAATTCAATAATAATATCAATGGCGTAACATCTTTCCTGGAGGATTAGTGATGTCTCCAGTGAAATCTAAAAATATTGATTCATAAGCGTTCTGTGTCGCCACACGAAGAGCCCGAGGGAACGTAAAATATGATTACCCGACTGATGTTCATCTACATTCTTCAATATTTCTGGCATTAATTTCTCGTCTAAGGAGAATTCTGCGATCGTTGGTGACGAATTTATATTTTTCATGAGTCCTTCTCTATAAGGGGGTGCCATTTATATCTGTGGAGGCTGCAATTTATTGCCGCCATTTATCATTTCATCGAGTCTTTACTCTGCCATATCATCTTAAGTGGCTCTAGTCCTTTCTTTATTTAAATACTCATAATACGTATCGTGTCTATCTATACTTTTCTAAATTTATGTAGTTTATGCAGATACTTAGTTTTATAATTCTTTATCCAGTTACTTCAAACAGAACATGAGTAGGTACACATCATATAAATAAAATATTTCACATGATAATATTAATAAGGATAGATCCCGATAGTGGTGAAAGCTCTGATAGGAAAAGACTAAGAAAACGGATAGACAGATTTGTCTGCTCGTAATTGTTTACATCCACCGCTATTTGACCAGTGACCAAGACGTCTATAGTAGCGTCGAAATATCGGAAGTTTTTTAATAATAAGTATTATCGTAGTAAATATCTCGTTTATACAATATATACAATTGCAAAACAACTGAGAACAAAGTTCATAGAATATGAATACTCTTATTAATATCAGAATAATATGTTATCGTAGATACAAAAACGATTTTACAAGTGCACGGAACACGTCAGAATGAATAAAGTGTTGACAAACTCGAGTGACAGTTAGTGAGAGATAAGTGTGTGATGGTGGAATTAGTAGTCGCAGCATGACCACGTGGATGGCGCTGTTCGGGCTAGTGTGGCTGCTGCGGGTGCGCGGCTCGCTTTGTGGGTGCGCGGCATGTAAACGCGCGCGTCACGAGGTACACGACGCGCAATGCGTATCCAGCCCGCGCACGCCCAGTCCCGAGCGCGCACCTTTTGACGTCATCGCGTTGGAGAACTACACGCGCGATGTCACCGTGCAGACTGACTTTGACGATGATGAAGTTGAAGATCTCGATAAGATCGAATTGCAGATCACCGAAGAATGTGAGTATTCATTTATTTATAAGAATTCTAAATAATAACTCTAACTCTAAATATTATTTAATAGATAAAACAACTATTCTTAAGGGACGTAAACGATGTTTATTTTACGTTTACGTTGTTTAAGAAATCATTTTTGCTCGTTATTAATTATAATATAATATTTTAATTATTGCAATCTCTTCACGTTCTGTTTGATGATGATGATACTCGTTATATAACTATAACGAAGTTCCTTCGCCACATTTCTTGGTATATTTTCGATAATCTCGAATACTATTGAACCTATTTTCATTACCTACATTTACATGTACGATATTTCATGCACGAATTCGCTTTATTCCAGGAAAGAATGAAAAGAGCATGTAAATATCGATAAAGCGAATGAGAAATATCGCGCGTGCTGCCAGCTCGCGTCTTATTGTAATAATTAATTATCATTACAAAATGCCGGTCATCTGGAGCAAAGAATAATTATAGCGTTATTAAAAATTTATAAATCTTAAACTTTGTCTTTAAAAAATAAAATCCGTGGAATATAAAAAAAATTACATGAATTATATTCGTGAAAAAGTTAAACCAAAGATAGTTAAATATAACTCACGTTTGCGCGCGCTGACTTTCACGCGCTAGATAGCGCACGCTCCTAATCGCGCGTGAATGAACGTGTTGTGTAAAAGCAGCTATTTACAGAGTGATTTCTGAAGGCGGTATAAATCTCTAATTTAATAAGGTTTTATATAAATTACTTGTAATAAAAGTGTGAAATTGATTTGGGGTTGCTAGTATATAGGAGTATAAGTAATATTGTATGGAAGCATATATGCAGTTATACGAAACTTTTGTGAAGAATTTTGTTGATTTGCACCATATTATTTTCCATTTCTCAATTAACCTTATAGGCTAGGCTATATGCCCAGTTTGGTTGATAAATACAAATATTGGTAAAATACAATATCAAGGGCTGTGTAGAGCACTGGATTGGAAATACTGTGAGAGTACAAAAGTTGCTGATGTAGGACTTATGGCGGCAACACTAAAGTTAGACTAGGCAGAATACGTGGGTCGCTTGCCAAGTATCCAATAAAACACCCAAAAATTTGTACGTCTTGCCTTGGAAATCCAAAAACATAGGTACATAACCAATAAGTTTGCGAACATGCTATATTAAATTTCTGCATCTTTTTATACAAAATTCATCATTTAAAGTCATTTAAATTTATTGTTTTTATTGGATTTTGTAAATTAATGGAGTTCGGATATAGCTTGAATGTGTAGTGATAACTGTTCAGCGCTAGTTTCGAAGCCGACTGTATTCAAAGCCTGATGATGCCTCGTTCAGAAGCGAAACACGTATCTCAGTGCGAGTGTAGACTCAATAACGGTCAGAATTTGATCACTAATAGAGAAGGTCATTTCATTTCCAGTAGTGATGATCAGGTTTCCGCACTGAAAATCTGTGGTCTCACACATACTAATGGTAGTAACTAAACATAAATCGATTAAGTAATTAAATGTACACACCTAATTCAATAGAACATATTAGTGAAAAGGCGGCAAGTCAAATATTCCCTTAACCATGACTTCAATAATTGACAATGTTGCTGACTACCCCATTCGGGATAAAACTCGTGTCGGTATATGTGTAGTTTATGTTAGAAAATATTTTTTTAGCTGACGTTTGTATATGTAACGATTTATCGATACCTGAACAAGAGCGTAATTTTGGTAATATTATTTTAGTAATAGTACGTAATATTCTATTGGATAGTCACGATCTTAACTCAATAGAAAATCACGTTCATGTAGCAGTCAATCAATCAATCAAGACAACTACTATAATTACTCTCTGACTAATACACATAGACAGTGTTATAATTGAAATTGTGATAACACAGTGAATTTTAGACCGTCGCGGTCTTGTGGTTTACTAACCCAATTAAAAGCCTCAAAGGGACTGAATAGTATATATAGATAGACTTTATAAAAACGTTGTCCTCATGAATACCTCATTTGTGTTTGTAAAATAATAATATAATAAAAATATGAAATCGTTTTGTACATTTGATATAGTTATTGGTTACGTCGCGTCTCGAATGTTCGAGAAGAAGAAACGGTATAAATTTATAAAATAAACAAAACAATATTAAGGCTTTCGTGAACTTTGAAGGCTATTCGCGTTTGCAAACACCTTAGTCATAATAAAATAATATGTAAACATAGCTAAATAAATTAAAAAAATGAAAAGACGGCACCGGTGTGATAATCGCTGGATTCAAAATGTATGCTCGAATAAAAGGGAAATGTCAAGTTTTACCTTTACTTGAACGTCGACCACCCATGTGCACCCGCCTGACTACCATATCTTTGTTTACATTCGAGAAGAAATTTATAATGAAATTCTATTTCATTTGTAAATACATTTTATGTTTAGATAAATAAATTCATGTACAATTAGAGAACGTGGACAAACAAGATATTATGTTTAAATTATAACCTATTTACATAGACTTCCTTCATGGCTGTACACATTTCGTTCGCTAATTTGCTTTATATTTATGAAAATTGTCGAGAGCCTTCTATTTGCTTAAGTTCCGCATCTTGGTGATATGGTGTCTTGTAGGTTTATTGTAATAAATTACGTTATTTTATCTCAAAAAGGGTAATATAAATTTGTTTGATCTTTTTAGCTAAAATATAGTAATGAGATAAGTATCAATCTTTCTGGTGTCTTTTATCTGAATATTTTGTAAATATGACGCTTATACATCAAAATGTATTCAAACAACAAAAATATATCTAATGTAAGAATATATTTCGATAGTGTCTACCTATATACCTAATATTATATATACGTATTAACATAGAAAATGTTCAGTTTTGGCTATATTACACCGGTCATCATTAGAACCCCAAATTGTCTCTTATAATCCTTACTAATATTATAAATGCGAAAATAACTCTGTCTGTCTGTTTGTCTATCTCGCTTTAATGTCAAAACTACTGAACCGATTTAAATGAAATTTGGTACACAGATAGTCTAGACCCTGAGAAAGGATGACTTGGATGGTTACTTTTTAATGTGAAAAAGGGCTATAAGGAGATTGAAAGGGTAGGTAATTAGGTAGGTAACTGATATTTAAGGCTGTTGATTAAATATAAATAAATAAAAATGGGTTGTAAGGAATTTAAAGGAGAGTTAAATATTTATATGGAAATATTGTCATTTTTAAAGCTAGAAGCTTGAAGTTTAATTTTTAGCCTATTTATTGAATATTATAACAAGAAAAAGAGTTATAAGGCGTTGAAAGAGTTATGAAAGATTGTATGGAAGTTGTCGTCATTTGTGAGTGAAGCTAAAACCATGAAACTTTCTATTGGGTTAGGTCATGAAATATTTTTTTCCATTATTTGGTCAAGGTTTTACGCGGGTACACCTAGTTGTATCTATAACATAAATAGGATGCCATGGTACTATTATTTATATAAGTCATCATTTTCTTGCATTAATATATTTCTGCTTTGATGATATCTAGGAGATAAAAAGCAGAGCATTTTTAACTCGTTTCCAAACGTAGTCTTATTTTATGTAATGTAATATAAAAAACATTAAAATCCACTGTTGTGAAATATTTAACTTGTATCTTTGTTTAAATTAATCTATTAATAACCAATTGAGGTTTTCAAATATAACTATATCTAAAATAAGACAATAAATTCATATATACTATTTCATATTTTGTACAAGTTTCCAATAATATCAAAACTGTAAATACGGGAACAAAACATGAGTGACGTCAACAAAAAAAACATGCCCAGGTTCCATACAAATTGGAATACACAATTTCACGTTTCAGAGAGCGAATGAATACAAAGTTGATGTTAAGAGCAAAATAATATATTTATATATTGATGCCATTTTCAGCTATTCTAACTAAATTACAGTAGTAAAAACTCTTTGGGTGATTCGTTCTCAGTTGATATATATATTTATATATAACAATTTTTTTCTGCGCAACGGAACGTCCATTCTTGACAATGGTTAACCTCTAGTTCTCTTATTTGGATCAAAGCATCATATACGTTAGCTGTGATTTGAAGGAAGTATAAATTGGTTTTACTGTTATCAACTTACAATATCAGGAATAAAATGCTTTTCATTTAATCGTGGTTTTATCTTGAATCTACATAAATGCTACGAGATGACTCGTTGAGTAATATTTTGGTAATTGAAAACTCGTGCAAAAATCAACTCTCTTAACTGAGATTGATTACGTTATGTTTCAAATAGAACTTGATGTTATAAATAGAGTGTGATTTGAATAATGGGCTATGTACTCGGTCTACCATTAAGCCTACTGTAAAAGAGACTACTCAACAATTAATTACACAATGTTGGTTTAAATGCGATCATTACTCAAAAACACAGCACGTGTAGGTCGTTCCAGCATCGGAACTGGTTAGAACTGAAAGTAGATCAATGACCATGGACGTATTTACGAGTATTGTAAACTGTTGTTAAATACTACAGAACTATTATAGTACAGACTGACACAGTGGGGGGGACTTTATTTTGTAAACTGGACCTATAGATATAGAAGATAGTTATGACAATGGAACTAAAGTAATTTTGTAAAGGTGGTCTATGTCAGTCACTGTATGCAAGTAGGACCTATACGACAAATCAGTACTCATTTATTTATGGAAAATTTAAATTATTTAAACTTGAAAAGCACGATTTACACTTATCTTGTACTTTTCTAGATATATACCTACATGGTATCAATACGCCAATTCTTACCTAATATGTAACAACAACAACTAGAGTAGGTTCATCAAAAAATTAATAAGTTTGCGCTATATAAAGTATTGTATATTATTTTTTATAGATATCCATACTTTTATAGATAAGCCTATTATAAATATAGACTACAATAGGTCGTTCTTAAAATTGTTTCCGAAATATAAAATAAACATATGTAATACTTATTTTATACATTATTACTCGTGACTTTATTAGCTATATTACCCAAAAGTTAGTCTATGTCCGTTCTCGTCATTGAATCTGTTATCAAGTTAAATTTTATAAAGACCAGTTCTGCTATTTATAATATTGATATGGATAAAAAGTATTTCTATTTATAGATCAATAATAATAAAAATTATTCGTGTTTTCATATGTTAATATAAATTTGATTTGATAAGAAGAGTGGATGGCAATATTATATATGCATAGTGTTTGGAGACCGGGTTGTCGACGATAACATATGTATGTATAACTGGATTAAGCTCGAAGTGGGCAGGACAGTTAGTTGGACGGGAACATGGGCCATGGATTAAGGTAAAGGAACGATGCCAGACTATACTAGCTTAATTACTTCATGTGTAAGTACGATACACAATATTAGTATATTTAGCAGTAGACAATGAGAACCAACATGATTATAATTATCATAGATTATATCTATAATAGTAATGTAACATCTATTCATAATAAAATTGTAATTAACCCTATACAGATTTTTGCCAATTCATTTATAATAAATGAAATTTATTTACCGACAATTTCAATATTTGCTACTAAATGCTAAATAACGTTGGTTTTAAACGACTCACTGTCTAAAATAGCCTCGTTTAGGTATGAAGTATCAATGTGTAGTTAACAATAAAGCTTTCCACTAATTCATTAAAGCTTTGTTAGACTGTTGACATCGTGACGAACGCAACACTTGACATGCTCATGATGGTCTCGGTGGTCAAGGAGTTTAGTATACCGCTTTACTTCCGATGACCGCGGCTTCGATGTCTCGCATGGTGCAAAAATTTGTATTCATGAGTATCTCACTCAGTCTGGTTGATTTATACCTATACAAACTGTACCCGCGACTTCGTCCGCGTAAATAATGAAAAAATATTTAATGAGCTAACCCAATAAAAGCTAAATAAAAAAAGTTTCATCGTTGTGGCTTCAAAAATGATGATACAAAATTCCATACTACAATTCAATCAACAGCGTCAAAAATAAGTTTCAAGCTTGTTGCTTCAAAAATGACGATTCTTCCATACAATATTTCATCCCTCCTTTCAACCCTTTGCAACCCTTTTTCGCATTAAAAAGTAGCCTATGTTCTTTCTCTAGGGTCTAGACTATTTGTGTACTAAATTTCATTTAAATCGTTAATCGTTCAGTAGTTTTTACGTAAAAGCAAGACTGACAGACCGACAGACAGATAAACAGAGTTACTTTCGCATTTATAATATTAGTAAGGATGATGTATATACTTACATAAAATGTATATATGTAAATATTTATATCGGTTGTCCAGTACCCATAACATAAGCTTTTTGTATGAATTGCCTAAGATTATTATTATCATTTCGCTAGCTATATTTAAATCCAACCTGATAAATAACGATACCGTCAGTCGGTGTTTCCAACACCAGAGAGTGAGTTAGAAATATAAATTTACTTTGAATTTTTTTTTACATTACGGCCAGATTTGAACTCTAGTTCCTTCTGAATTAGGATATTAAACCACTAAGACACAAGGCTGTCCATGAATAGTTAGTAACAAAGTACATAATTACGAGTAAAAACAATGTTATTAACGTTGACACATTATTTTTGTTTGTAGCTAACGTCAGCAACTACGAGTGTGGGAGGGAACAAGCGACGTCAAGTCCAGGAAGTGACCGTCGACTCTCCGGAAGTTGCCAGGTTTGTTTCACAATAATATCTGTTAGCAAACAACACTTTTCTCTTACGCTGTTTATAGCGCTGTGTACGTGTTTGTAGATCTCGTTTGTAATCTGTTACCACCAGCAGTTCTATTGTTACGTGTAGCAAACTGAAACTTTAAAATTGTGGCTTATAGATAACTAGCGACCCATATCGCCATCGCACGGATGCAATACAAATCTTTGAATTTCTCAGCATTTTCTATTCATGTATTATACATATAAACCCACTTAATTTAAAAGATATAAGAGAATAGACAGCGGAGGAGTCTTTATGTTGTACTATGTAAAGATACGTACATTTAAGATGCTATTATTAATGATGTTCTTGAAAATTATTTCTTTACAAAGCAAAGTTAAAATCAGTTTAAAAAAAGTACAACGGTTACTGTAATATTTTTTTTAAAAGTATTTTGTCTATCACTCTGTAGATTTAAGTATTATATCATCATATCGTACAGTATTGAAATAGATTTTTGATAATGTATCACACAATACTGTCTGTCATCTACGTGCATACGGTTGTGTATTCTTTATAGCAGCCGACAAATTGATGTTATTTTTGTATTTCATAAAAAAATCAAGAGTTCAATAGGATCAGACCGTTGATAAATAATAGTAATTTTAGAATCTAAGTAAATTATTAAACATAAGAAGCACAAACAGCTTTCTGAAATAAAAATAAAATAATTATGAATTCATTATTATTACACCATTTATGTTTTTTTTAGTATATTTTATATATATGTATGTATATGGACCCTTAGAACTTACGTTATTAATATTTTCATACAAAAAAATCTATAAGCAGCTCCGTTCCGTGACACGTAACACAAGCGACCCATGTCAGTATAAAACATAAGTCCTCTTGTATACCCCTGTAATAATGATTTATTTATTGTTTTTAAGGATTTGTATAGAAATCTCTTTTTGTTTATTCTTTATGCGAACAATCGAATTTTAGTCACATCAATGAATTACACATTAAACGATGCTGTAATGAAAATTGTATTTTCACTATACAAAAAACGAGCTGCTTTGTTAGACATCAGAAAATTGTAGCCTATTCTCCCTTTGATTATATTAATAATACTTTCCTTTTGATTATAAAAATAAATCTAAGTTCAATATAGCTGGCGGTGAAATCCGAAAAGCAGGTGTAATTTTAGCTACTGAAAATACCTACTAAATTATCATTGTTATGAACAGCGCTAAAAGGTTTATAATAAGTAAAATAAACACAAAGGATAGGAAAATATTCTTAATAGTTCGGTTTATTGTTGTATAATACATATTTCGTACTGTAAGGTATACTTTACAACTCTTAATCTTAATGGGGTAGTTTCAACGCCACACTTATTTCACATATCCTAATTTTGCTGGGTTTATTTGAATACAAACCAGAGGCTCACCTCCTGGAATCCCTCGAATTAAATTGGTTTGTTAACGGTAGTTTTATCAGCAGCAATTTGGTTAGAAATTAAACACAATATTTTTTAGAGTTTCAAATTTGTGGCTTCCTGTCGTGACGGGGTCTTATTCTAGTCAGCAAACTACAAGGCCACTACACTCTCTATTTATAGGAACACTGTATTATATAGGATTATAGAATTCTAGCTACATCGTGGATATAAAGCGACTTGAGGTCGTTCAGCGGTCGTTTACGAGGTATCCTTGCTTTTACTACTCAAGGAATCGCTCTCAGGTGTCCTTTTAAACAGCATATTGATTTTTTAGTAGGCATTATCTTTAAGGGCTGGTCACTAAACAAACGCTTTCAATATTTATTTTAAGAGTGATGAAAATATTATTGAATTTTTTACAGTGCGGACCAATATAATTAGATAACTTATTATGAATACTCTGTTATGAATATGACAAATAGTTTTTTTTATACTTGTATAAATGGATTAAAAAAGTAGAATGTTGTTTACATGTGAGGTTTATGCATAAGTTTACGTATTGTGTTCTTTTCATATTCATGCTTCAATTGCATAGCATAGTGTGGTAATACGAAACGCGAACTAGCTTAAAAAGGAGATTGAAGCAATATTTTTTTAATTGTATAATATGGCTTCAATGTCGGTTATACTACTGGTGAGGTGTGGCTATTACAGAAATATCTCAGAGAGAAACCTATGCTACAGACCTCTAGGCTTGTAGTATAGGTTCCAACCTAGTTCAGATTTCAGACTCTTACAAGGAATAACTTGTGAGTGTAAATATAATTAATATACATTGTAAGATTTCATGAACCTCTAATCACTTAGGGATATAAAAAATAGGTAGTAGCCGTTTCTCAGAATACGCATATAAAAATTCATAAAAATCGGTCAAGCCCTTTCGGAGGAGTATAGTAGGTAACTAACATGAGATGTGATAAGACGAGAATTTTATATATAAGATGTCACAGTACACACACATATTACTATTTAAGTAATGAATTAAAAAATAAAAGGTATTGTAGTGCTCAGTAATCTGACAGTTGAATCAGCTAAGAAAATTTCATTACATTATTATTACAGTCGTGGTCTGAATCTCAAGAGAGAAAATCTTGTGAGTTATAACCGGAATCTATCTTCCTAATCCTGTCGCAATCAATGTAATAGCAGTTTCAGGTTATTTAGTATTTGAATCTGTATAAAGTATTAAAATATTAAATAACGTAAAAACATTCGTTCCTTTATAAAAAAAAATAATAACCCTGGACAATTAACATGCCACCGTGTAGTCCTATGGTAAGCAGAGCTTGGGTTATGGGAATTAGACTACTGATATGAATACTTAGATATTTTTTTGTAAATACATACATAATATATGTATAAAACACCTAGATCGATACAAACAATTATATTCATGAATACAAATATTTGCATTATGCAACTAAACGAACCCGCGACCATTAAAATTAAAACTAAGAAGGTGTGTTAAACCGCTAGATCACCAGATTTATTACATATCATTTTGGTCGTTTATTCAGATATTTATTACATCATGTGTGTTAGAAATATAAGGCAAATGTAATTCTTAAAAATTGTACTAGACGACGTTATTACGAAAATATATAAGTGTATTTGTAGGTTACATTATTAATATTATGAAGTTATTTTTTTTATTAAACCAATAAAAAACACTTAGATACGACGAATAGTAAAAAACGATAGAAGCGACTTGTTTCGACGACGAAAGAAACAATGTTTTTAAATTATATGTGATTAATACATACTAAACTAAAGCAGGAAACTTTCGAAATTTAAAAAAGTAATGCCCACTTAACCGGCAATGATGTGTTTAAAACTGTACTTTGCCCACGTTTTCTGGTTTGCTTATAAAGGTCTCTCCTTTATAAATGAAATGGATTTTACAAAAAAATAGACGGCTTTGAGAAATTACTGCAATAAACGCTAAATGAAGTCTATTTGTATATGTGGCACGGGATTGTAGTACTTCATAGCGAAATGTGGTAGAAACTTATGGGTATCAGACGGAAATAAGAATATAACAAACATTGATGGTAAAAATGCTAGTAGTATTTTTGATAATACATTGCATTTTACTATAACAATCAATATGTTGTGAGGAGCTGGTGTCTGAAATAGGTATAATCTGTAATACAGATCACCAACCCCCAACTGAATGGACAAGTGATATAAGTTAAATAAATTACAATACTTATACTACATTAAATAAACTACATTCTATATATACTAACATGATACAGAAGGATAAACAATAAGTTCAAATACACGATTTTATTACTACCTTTTTAATTTTCAAACATGTTAATGTACCACGGTAGCCACTTAAGATACCACTCTGGAGTATGAAGTTGCTATGCTTTTATATCTTATAATTTCATTGTCTTATCACCCTTCAACTGTAACAACCTTACAATGCAAGATGTTTGACGGCTGAAATAAGTAACGACGTAAGTCTGAAGTACCCATAGCACGCAGACGACTTTTTACAAAGTCTGCATCGGTTCAGTTTATATAGAAGTAATATTAGACTATATTTAGCCTGCTGCTGCAACGAACATATTTTGTAGAAACATTTTACCCTTTATAGTGTTGAATATTCAGACAGAATATTGCATATAAAATGGTATGTGCAAGTTGCAGATGACCATTTTATATGCAATATGTTGCACAGTATAAAACATATCAATTTTCTGTGCTACTTGAGTTGCTTTTACTAAAAGCTTTTATATCCTGGAGAAAACACTGTTCCATAAACAAGAAACCATTATATTTTATGTAACTTTAATGTAGATCATATAGCATTCAAACTGTATCTACTTAACATCTTATTTCGAGTATTATTAATTAAAGTATGTAACTATTAGTAATATTAAATTATTGTAAAACGTTAATAATTATGCATATTGACGATAACTTAACTTAACAATAACGTAACTTTGCTAATTATTACACAAAGTATGTATTATTCGGTTTATAGAAAAAGTGGAGTAATTATAAATTTTAGCATATAGAATTGTGTAAATTAGACTGGGATAAGTGACAAAGAAATGTTATATATGGGACAATGATTTTGACTTCAATTATGATGAAGGAGTCATAAATAGTGCCTAATAGTAATCGTAACTGTGAGCTTTTTAACTGAGCCGAAGTGCTCCTAACCTAACCTATTGAGAGTAGGTAATGGGAGTAAAAGAGGTCAAAATTAATTAGAACTTTTGGTATTCCATTCTCAGGCGTGATATTAGGAATGTGTTTATGTATGATGTGAACTCTATCAATAACACAACGTATGCGAACAGATCTTACGAATTTTTTAAATCAATGGAAGTAAAAGAGAATTAATTAGAACATTTGGCATTTAATTCGCACTCTGCCTACAACAACGTGAGTCTGGCGAGATCATAATATATAGTTTAATCTCTATATATAAAAATTACGTGTGACGTTGTTTGTCCGCGATGGACTCTTAAACTACTGAACAGATTGCAAATTTGATTTGCATATAGTGTGCAATTTTATCCAACTTAAAAGATAGAATAGCTTACATCTCAATTTATAGTTGGAATATTATTTTATTCAAGTACCTTAGCCACAGCAACGCGTGTCGGGTCTGCTAGTTTATTGTATATATTATTAGTATGTGTATCAACAATATGTCATTTTTTATGGATGTGTGTAAATTATAATTAATAAATAATTTAATTGTACCCTTTATTGTTTAGTCGTCTATAAAGAGACTGTATAAGTTTAACGCTATGTCCACAAACTGTTAAATCCGTATTTCTATTCGGCGAAGCGTGAGTGATAATAAACAGGCTCACTTTGTTCCCAAGTTTCCTCTTTAGGTTATTTACATTACGTTACGTTACGGATGTTTATCTGATTAAAGCTTTAACATACAGGATAACTACATTAGCGAAGCAATGTTATTCATTAAACAAGACACGAACCTAATTAGGTGAAATCCCATGTCAATAACGATCCCGAAGTAGGTATTAATCTAACTTATTTTACAGTTTCAAGTGTCCCGCTGTTAGAGTTGACACACGGTATTAACCCTTGTCCATTGTTAACGGGTCAATGTAAGTTATTTTAAGGTCGTAGTTTAATCGACCGACTAGCAGTTTCGTTACACTCTACTGTCCAAGCAATTACAGACTGTGTATTCAACCGTTTCACAGTACCCATTGGGCTTTGACATCGAGTCCATTTGGAATTGGGAGTCGACAGACGTGACTTTGGAATAGAATGTTTCTTTTTAGTTGTGAGTTACATATCTATTACAGTTGCATTAGAAAGCAGAAAGGTAGAGTGTTGTTTGCATTCTCAAATTCGAGTACCCTGTGGCTGATTTCAAAATAACAAAAATACTTTATAGCTGTTACAGCTATTGTATCTAAAGTTTACAATTATAATATTTAACTAGAATTAGGGCAATTTCTATAATTTAGAATACCTAATTATATTGTTTAATTATTTAGTAATATGCATATATGGTCTACATTCTGTGTAGTAATTTATTATTAGTCTTCACATTGGAGAACTAGGAACTATAAGTTCTTTCTTCTGGTGTAAGATCATATTGTTATTTCACTAATATTAGTATAGGGTAATATTTTGAAATTTCTAATCTAATAAATAGTTAAAAATAGTAGACATAAAAACAGTATATATTATTCTTATGGCATTGTTTCATTAATTTAATCAAATGTATTTTTGCTGTTTCCTACAGAACCCTTCAGATTCCGATAACGAGTCTGTGTGGGAGACTACAGACGTGACATTGGAGCGGGGCGCTGCAGGACTTGGACTTAGTATAGCTGGTGGTGAGACTGGCGGTGACGTCAGCATAACACGGCTAGCTACCGGGGGAGCGGCGAAGAAAGACGGCCGCCTGCAGATAGGGGATATTTTGTTACAAGTGAGTGCCGCATTATTTAAATATCGATGACATTGGTAGTCTAGCAGTTTTGCACACCGCTTCACTATTGATGGTCGCAGGATCGATACAATTATGTCTTTGTGAGTATAGGTGTTTGTATTGGTCTAGTCGTTTTCTATGTATTAAAAAAAATCATATATTTCTCTCAGTTGTCTAGTATCTATAACACTAGTTCTGTGTACCTTAGGACGCCAAACGTATTATTTATTAGCTACTCACCCCGGCTTTGCACGGGTGTATATGTATTATATATATATATAAATCTTCCTCTTGAATTACTCAAACGCAACTCTATTAAAAAAACCGCTTAAAAATCGGAATATATAACATCAGGAAGGCTAAGATAAGAGAAATTAAATTACTTATTTACCTATATACATATTTTATGGATATATATAATTAAATTATAGTTTTTTTTTATAAACCTTTACAGAACAATTTCTTACAGTTGAAAACATGTTCATTAAAAAAATATTAATTTTCCCAATCAGAATATCTATTATATATATACTAAAAATATAAATTAAAAATAACTGTCATATTTTTTTGAAACGTTAATATTCGTAAATCTACAAACGTATTACGATAAACAAACTAGAAAGTGAGAAAAGTAAAAATAAGGCACTATATATTCTGCTGTTATTGAAGAGAACAATATTCATGGTATAGCCTACATTATGTATATTAGTTTTTTAAGTTATTTATGTGACTCATGGCTTTTTTGTTCTGGTAATATTCACGAGTAAACAAAGTTATATATAGAGTGAAAAATATTGTATCAGGTTTTTTTATTATATAAAAAAGTAAGTACAATAAGATTGTATACTATTTTTAAATTGCTTTTGGAAATTAAATTATGGGTATGTAGGTATTGCGGAGGTAAGTAAAGTAAAAAAAGTTTCAAGGGTTTATTTTAGACCTTTGTTTTCTGTATACACCTAATAATTACCGAACAATCATTTATGGTTTCTTAGCTTTAAATACAAGACATATAATAAAAACAATTTACAAAAATGAAAAAAATAACAAAGGTCATTTTACTTCCTTCACGAAAATGTACAATATTACTTAATAATAAACACCGGTATAGACTGTTTTATTAAAATAATCAAAAAATATTAACAGGTGCTAAAAATATCTCTATTAGCTTCCACATTAGATCGTTACAATTTGAGTGCCTAACATCCAATTTCTACTTAATAGAGACTACGGTGTGTAAAAATGACAAAGTGCTAATAAACCGCGTTCTTCTATCAGATATTATAGGCACTGCTATAAAAATAAGCTCGTGGTATGGAAAAGAAATAAGGAGACTTTTAAAGTTAGAAAATAACGTTCTGAAACTTTTTATCACGTAGTTAAAAAACTCTTCACGGGAGTTACTTAAACGACATTCTTTACAAACTTGGCCGTTTGTTTAATGAAATTTTATGTTAGGTTGAAGGTTTAATTTGACAGGGTGATGCGCCGTCTACAGAAAAATAATCGAAAACCGTTAATCATGAAAGTTTCCAACTTTTGAATTAACTTGTTTATACGACCTAACAGATTAGTTCTGTCTATATATATATATTTCATTAAATAGACTACGAATGTAATGGATCGGTGGACTGTATGGGTGTCTAAATGATGAAAACACATATAGAATATGATAGTAAAATATATTTAAATACAGTTGCGAATTATCCAAAAGACAATGAGAGAATAACACGATAAAGGGAAGTATATCAAATAACATGACATATAAAAAAGAACTCATCAAAAATATAAATTTAAAAATAATAAAAATATCAAAAGAATTCTGCTCGAATTACCGAAAGTATAGATTACAATCATAAATAGATACTCGAAGAACCTTCATAGAAGGTATAAAATTGTATTATAAATTCTGTCAGATCGATTGTATTGTCTCAAACATTCCTAGTTTTGTATGAAAGCAACATGAAAACAAGAAAAACAAGAAACAAAACAACCTTATCGATTGCATAAAAGTTTATAAAATTGGCAATATTATTAAATTCCTACAATCAGTAAATGGAAACAATTGTACATATATAATATATTCCTGAAACATCTTCCATTATCTCTGAAAGAGAATCTAATGAACCTATTTATAAATTTACCAATTCAATTCCTAACCCACTTAAACATAGATATTTTGGTATAGCAAATTGTCCGTGCAACTAGACATAAAAAAATTCTACAAAATAATTCGTTCCTACAGGATAGGCCTAGCCTAGTGTAGGAATCTATGCTGTTGTGAATATGTGTAACAATTTTTGTAAAGAAATAAATAATTATTATTATAATAGGTTTCCATTATTACAAATACCGAATACCTTTTATAATATATTATTTTATTACTTAATACAATTTTATTATTTTCGTTTATGTTGAAAACTATTCGAGACAGATGTTTATAGTACTCATTTTTTATTATCTGAATAAAGGAATCCTAAATGTATTTATTTCATTCTAACTGTATATTGCTACTTCGTTGTATATTTTATATAGTACGTATATATAGTTTCATTTATTATGCCACATATCAATATAATTTAATGCCACTATTTAATGTCTTATAAAACACTTTCTTTGAAAAAAAAAAATATTATAAAATTGAAGTGTTTATAAAAAATAAAAATGTTTTTGTTGAAAAATTCTAATTCATAGCGCTGACAATATTATCTGCTTGCACAAATATTGAGTGCGTAGCGTTTTTTTTTGTTGACTTTCGTATACCTAATCCTTATTAATGTGTATTTACTTAGAACAATATATATTTAAAGAGCAACATCCAAGTTTCTTGCTCAATCTCTGCGAACCTGTGGTAGAATAAAAAAATCTGACTATACAAAAGTGCTTATATTAAGTTTATTTGAATAAAGATGATTTCTATTTCTAATATCATTGTTAATATTTTATTAAATTCTATGGATATTACTATTTTTTAGTCAAAGGTATTGTCAACTGTCGGTGCAATGCTATGTGTGTTATATAAATTTTCTGTATGTACCTTTAGTACGAATTGTATTTTTTATGCCAATAGTAATTTTATTTTCATTTCTACATATGTAATTAAAGTGTATTAAATAAACACTGTTTACGAAACTTCTGATAAACATGTTTACTATAGATAACACATGTTTAAACCTATAATATTTACTAACTTATCTGTGAACTGGTATTTATATGCGAGTCGTACCTCACTTGTTAATGGTATTTTTTCCCCAAGAAAAAACACCAATATAACTCGTTCGATAAATATAATAATTATAATATTCAAAAACAACGAATTTATGTTTTCTAAATAATACATAAGAAAACTTTTTTAAATGAATGTAAATTATACAACCATTATTCTTACCAAAACTGATACTGCATCAATTTCCTAGTAATCGAGAGTGTTATTATATTTAATACAAAGAAATTATCTATATTATAATTAAATTCTATGTTGTATAATTTCTACGTTAGAACACTAATCTATTTTGTTTTATTTTAAATAGGTAAACGATATTTCATTGGAGGGTGCGCCTCATTCCGTAGCAGTGGATGCTCTACAGAAAGCCGGCAATGTTGTTAGATTAGTAAGTTTATCTTAATTGCTCCTTGTTCCACTGACTTAATTAGTGTCTTTTAAACCTCCCTGAAGAGAAAGAATGACTATAATTAAATGTTATCAAGATAGAAAAATATACAGATTAGATAGGAGATGCATATTTATAATTAGGCCTCATAATTGTCATCACCAGTTAGTTTATTAAGGTAGGTTGGTACGAAGTCGTGGGATGAGATAAGACAGTGGAATAAAATTATATGAAGACAGACATCACATATGTACGGTCCGTAGTAATTGTCCCCTATACATATGTATGTCTGTGACAAGTACCATTTACCATCATGTTGGCTGTCAGCTTGTTTACTATTTCAATTAAACATCGACACATGAAACATTTAAACTTTTCAAATTTATTTCAATTATTAAAATTAAAAACTTATATATGCTGGAACCTTGCATTATGGCACCTATACAAAATCAAGGTGGGTGTATAAATTATTGCTTGTTTTTTAACCATCCGGTCTGATAGAGATGTACGTCGCCTAAGGCGGGTTAAAATAGTTAAGTTCATTAATTAGAACTAGGTACAGAAAATTTCATATAATGTAAACATTAATTTCAGTAGAGTTATTATAGTTGGGTCTTGAAATATCATAAATATTAATAACTTTTGATATCAAATTCAGTAATAAAGGCATCATCATCTATTTCAAAATATAATCTAAACATCGTGTATTATTATTGAAAATATATATTATTTATTATCTAAACAATTACTTGTATAATTTACGAGCATTTGGTAAACTTTACTTAGACAATATTTAAATTTTACATGTATTTTTGTAGCGTGTTCGTCGCGCGCGACGGCCCAGGGTGGTGACATTGTGGCGAGGCGCTCGCGGACTCGGTTTGGGTATAGCAGGGGGTGCAGATGATGCTGCTGGTGGAGGAGGAGTTTTTGTATCTCACATCGCTGTCGGTGGAGCCGCGCATCATGATGGTAGATTAAGACTAGGAGATAAAATATTGGCAGTCAGAGATGAAGACGTTAGTACTTGTATTTACAAATCATACTAGTATATTTTTTATACTATATCAAATTATAATATTAATAAATATTCGTATATTTCACGATATTGTATACAATGTTTAAATTTATACGTACATACATAAGTACACAAGATTATAATTAACCACAAAAATTAAAATAAATATTATTTCTATTTCTATTTCTGCATTTGTACAGCTATAGAAAGTTTATATAAAGAATTAATTACTAATATGTATATTAATTACTTTTAGGGAATAGAAACTTCATTAGTGGGTGCAACTCATGCTCAAGCTGTAGCAGCCTTAAGAAGCACAGGAGAAAATGTTACGCTAGTTGTGTTGCCCGCAGGATCAATTTTGCCTGTAGCCCGATCCGCTCCGCTTTATTCCAGTAAGCATCCTTATTTTATTAATACCTCATTATTTAATTATATACTAATTATTTAATTTCACTTCATTGAAATTTTCTCTTAATCGCTGTGATTTCGAATGATAACGGTGTACTATGGTAACATTTGTTGAATAAATTTTTATGTTCATAATCAACTGTTTTATGTAGGTAATTCGGTAATTATTTGTTTTTGGTTTTAACTGAATCTATTTATATATTTGAAATATTTTATTATGTCGTTTAGAATAGACTTAATAATGCTTGTATACTTGTAGCAAGAACACAAGCCACTTCATGTTCAACACTTCACGAATTGTTAGAGGAGGAGCCGAGTGAAATACCGAGGTAAAGTTTAACGTTTCGCGACACGTTTCATTTCACTTCTAAATTGCGTTAACGCCCCAGCTTTTGGCACTAATTCAAAAACTACATAACTTTAAGCTTTAGTAAAGGGTTTCTTTTGGCACGAGCGTATCGCATGCACTTGTATATTGACCACTGCCCGCATTTATTTCAGACAAACGTTGCTGTTGTAACAAATTGTTTCTGTTGCCTTTTACTAAATGTTAGCAAAGTTGTACTGCTACATTTTTAATTAAATGACTAAAATGAACTGCTTTGTCTGTGTGAAGCTTATTGTCTATCGTGTATATGAGATTAGCCTAGTATTTATTCTTTACATCTTGAACCACTTTGTAAATTTTAATTTACCACACTTGATTTACATGAGGTTTACTATTATATTGAACAATACGTAATATATACTCTTTTAAATTTGACACTTTCTTTATATTTATACGTAAACTTAGGGCATAATCGCGGGATCGTTAAAAGTAAATAAGACGTGCTAAGATCCCGTGTCTTATCGCAATAATACTTACTATTATAATATTGTATTTATGTATGTAACCTTGTTTGTTTGTTATCTGTTTTCGCTTTAATGGCTGCAATATTAACTATGCAAACTAAGTTGTGGTCAAGATAACATTATATAAGACGATCAAAGACAAACCTTAACGTTTCTATTATTTCCGTTTACTTAGGTGCGTTCGTATGGTCCGCTTGGTCCGATCAGGGTCCCGACTTGGCATGGACATTGTCGGGGGACTTGGCGGCGAGTCGGAGGGTAGTAGTGGGGGTGAAGATGATGCTTGTGGGGTATTCGTATCAGGAGTGTCAGTTGGGGGCGCTGCACATGGAATGCTGTACCGTGGGGACAGGATTCTGAGTGTCGACGGTCGGGACTTAACGCGAGCGACGCATGAACAGGCTGCTGCTGCTTTAAAGGTATTCTGAATAATAATGGCTACAAAGAATAAATAGAGCAAACAAATTTTACACACAATTGCAATCTTTCTTTATTACTAATAATATCTTATTTCGAAATTAGTAATTTATATAATATAAGGGTGAAATTACAGGATAAGAGGTATGACATCTTATATCCTATAGAATGATAACGCCTGAGTTTTATAAATGTGGTGCTGTAGGTACGAGTATAAGGTGAAGGTCACAGTGGGCCGTCACCTCGTTTGCCATTCAATTACATAAAAAAGTACTCATTGTTATTTTCAAATAACAGCAATACTCGGGTAGTGCAGTGTCCATAGCGGCGCAGTATCAACCAGAGCAGTATGAGAGACTGCGCGCACGTATTCGCGCAATCAATGCTGCTGCAGCGATGTCACCGCATGTGCGACATGCCACTCATGTTGCGCATGGAACCCATGTCCCAGTGCATCCAGACCTGCATGCTATGTACCCGAGGTAATGTCATGATTAACTAAACTAATATTGTGCATAAGAAAAATTAGATTTTTGATTTGTAATGAATAACCTCAAATACATGTACTTAACTGATTTTTAACATTATTTCACATATAGTTTTTTGATACGGAATGTCCCACATTAGTCTTTCTAAAACTCCCCTCCAAATTGAATTGTTCACTTAAGAAACTTAAATGGTATGTTTTGGGAAGAAATCACTAGAAAATTGATAACGAAATACAATAAATTTTCAAAACATGTAATGAAAAACCTAAATTAAAATATAAATATTTGTCATAAAGAATTTTCTGTATTAATTTATTATGGCCCAGTGCGAAAGGGTTAAACTCGTGTCGAGTCCATTTTCGAATTACCCCCCTTAAAAATAAAATTATCCCCCTGTGGGTCGTGGGCCCCATGTTGAAAACACTGACTTATGGAGTCCTATTGTACACATTGTACGAGTATAAACCGAATATTGAACATGATAATATTATTTAAGCCATATTTAACATTTGTAACGGCATTGAAATGTCACCTATTAAATATGGTTACTGTTTCGTTAATAGAAAGTGTACAATTAGTAAACAACAATAAAAAGTTAGTGTGAAATGTAGGGTGTATATCATTTAAAATAAAATAGAAAGAAGAGATATGAAAATATTTATGAGAGACTAAGTATACAATAGTCTCTAGCTAGACACCTGTCTAGCTAGAGACTATTGTATACTGATATATTTATGTTATTGTATACTGACAGATATATTTGGCAGAATTATTTGTCGTTACGTAAATAATTTACTTGTATTGTCAATATTAATTATGTTTTTGTGTACTGACACACTATGTACGTACAAGAGCTAGATAAAAACACAACAAGAGCCTATTATCGTATATAAATACATAGACATAAATAATTTATTAGGGGATTATTTTAGAATTATATTTATTGACGTATATTTTTTTACTTTATGAAGTGGATTATTAATGTATAATATATATATATATTAATAAATATATAAATAAATAATAAGTTATTCTATAATAATAAGGAAACGTTACTGTAAAGAATGTGTAAGTAATTTTAAAACAATTAAACATTTTTACATAAGTCACACACGAATATAAATCTGCACTAACCCACAAAAATTACATCTTATCATAAAAACTCAATAGTTATTATCTAACAAATAATTAAAATTGTCAACTACGATCTTAAAATTAAGTATGAAAATATTTGTATATCAATGTACGTGACTGTACCTATCTAATCAACTAATTGAAATGTACAGGAATTCTCTATATACCTACATGGTAATAGACAATGTTATAAACTCATTTTAGTAACTAGTTTCCTAACATGTGTTCTAATATCTAATATAATATAGTAAATATTAGCTAGATGCGTCCGGAGTTGCCTTAATTGTTTGTATAAATAACTTATAAATTGCTAATATAATGTTATTATATTAAATAAATATCCTTTAACATAATACACAATACCATTAAGTATCAAACTAAGGATAGTGACTAACAAAATCTGTACAAACAGAGATACTCATTAACAAAAATGTGTTCTGTGTCGATCGAACCCAGGTCGAATAACAATAGTAAAATAGGATTTCCAGTCAATAATCATACATTGTTAAGAAAATCCTTCAGATTTTAAAATTCATTATTCTTTAATACGATTATAATATCCTATATATTTTCACAGTTTTTAATATTAAAATGCTCCACGAGTGAAGTAGACGTTAATAACTAAGTAATATAAAATAAGTTCATAAAAATTTACCATCTACCTGTTTCTCTAGCCCTCAGCCTCTCTCACAGCAATATCTAGACATTACGACACTATTAAATCTATCTAATTTATTGGTTAGCACCTGGCCGCCTGGGGAGAGTAGACAGAGTTAGCTATAAGATTTTTATTGAAAACTATTTTATCTTATACTATTTTATATGCCTGATTCATATTTATAAACTACTTTTGAATATGCGTGACCTCGCCCTACAATACTAAATAATAAGATATAAAAATATATGTTAAAGCTGGTAGAAGGAGGATAGTGTAAAATGTTACACTGAATATATGAACTTTATAATATTTCATAATATGGCTTTGTATAGTAGAGCCTCATTAAAGGTTCAATTAACAGATCAGTTTAATTTCCCCTTCCTTTCTCAGAATTTATTACTTCATATAAAGTAACGTTATATAACGTATTAATAAATCATTAGAAATTCCGATAGAAATTATACACAAGTACCCATCTAACTTAACTAGCGATTTGCCCTGGTTTTACACGAGTGCATGTACTTAAGTAAAAATTTATTTTTATTTTTATGTAATATTTAACCCATATTTGTTGGTAATATAGCAAAGCTAAAGAGTCAACACATTTTAAATCTGTCAGTATTTATTCGAGTTTGTTCATTACTAACTTCATGGAATATTTTTTCTTCGTAACATTAGTGTAGTATAATATAATTTCATTAAAATATAGTGAATACAATACAATGTACCTAATATTAATAGTGTAATATTTAATAAAGAATTTTAATTGTTTAAATATAGGCGCATTTGTATTGAATCATCTATATTTTGTTTATTTCAAATTTAAACTATATGTATATTTATTACTATATAATAATAATAATAGAAGTATACTACTAGACATGTATAAACTTCTTATTATATGTTATACGACAGGAAATCAAGATGCATGTTGTAATATAATGAAATAATTTAATATTACCATTTCTACCAATTTTCAATATAATTTAATGAGTTAAAGACAAAATGAAGAAACCATTCGACGAGTTAATAAGATCTCGTTTATATGCCCATAGCTAATTAAATTACACCATACATTTCAAATTCTAATATATGTAATAAATCTTCTTCTTATTTAATTTAATTTTTCGCAGGTAGCAGTGAACTGGCTGTGAAAAATGACCATTTTGGAACTGAAAGTAGTTAGAGAAAAATTGAATTATAGTACTTGGCTATTGATGAATGTTGTTACCATGAGAACAGGAACTTTATTCTAATTTAAGTACATATTTGTTATGTAGTTTATATATTATTGCTGACTAAAAATGTTTTCCTCTAATCCAGCAAATATCGACACACCTAAACAATTTGCCTAAGAAGGTTTGAAGTTTGTTTTTCAGTACATTAAAATGAAAGATCGGAGGGTTCACAGAACTTACAGTGTTTATTCAGTTTTAATTGTAGCCAACCTCTAAATTTATGTACCTACTAGCCATGCATCTTTTGATATTGGAGTCACAAACTTTAATGTCGAATTCTTAAAGATTGATATATAAGTGTGATTCTTGGAAACAGTTCTAGTACCTAACTATATTGAAATTCTATCTACCTATTATTAAGTGTATATCAAACGTTGCAACACTATCGACTGTTTTTTTTATTTATAATTTGTAAAATTTTAGTCTAATATTAAAGTATTTTACCCTGTAAATATGAAATTGCACTTAATGGAGGCTAATCGAAAATCCCCTACCCGATACCATTAGCTATTTTGGCAAAACATGAAAATAGCAATTCAATAACAGGAAGGCGTGGTTATTTCTAAGAAATTGAATAATTTATATAAAAGCAGTTCTATCGTTTTGTTCTTATTTTTTATAAGTAATGTTTTAATCGTGAATCATCAGAAAATGACTCCTTTTCTTATTTATTTGGTTTATCATTGTATTGATAATTTTACTAATCATTTATCGGGAAATGAGTTTCGATAATTATATGCTTATAGCTATAATGGCAATAGCATGTAATTACTGCAATTTTCCAGGAATATAATGTTCATATTGTTAACCGACTGAAAAGTGGGAGGTCGCCAATTCAATAACAGATATTCGTATTTGTTTATCATAAGAATTAATCCGATTTCGATGATACATTTTTTCAATCATTTTTGTTCTATATTACTGATATAGTATGGTAGTAAGTTTTATAATTGAATATATTACTTGTCGGAATACCGATATAAAGTGTAAAACATTTACTTTGTGCCTATTTACGAGTATTTATAAATTTAACTCGTATACAATTATACGTATAAGAATAAGATGTCAAATTTTAAATCAAGTTCTATACTTGATTTAAAATTTGACATCTTATACGATATCAAATTCAAACCTAAATTTTTGTTCATTATTAATTTATTGTTCAGATTTCCTATTTTCGATTTACATATTAAGTTTTAATAGAGAATCTTTGATGTGCAATAATATAAATGAAAAGAAACAAAATATTGCATGCTTAAAACAGCATTAGTTTAAAATATGGTATTTGTCTTTTTATTTATATAGTTAGTTTACAATGGGTGCAACTTCAAAGTTGAAGTTGGTGTAAATAGTGCGAAAAGAAAAATATGTTTTTTTATACTTTCCTATTCGTGGTAAATTGGTAAACATTATTAAAATACACGTAGTTAAGTTAGTTAAATTGTAATTAATTTATTAAATAATGATGATGTTTTTCAACTGTGATATTAAAAATATGTTAGTGTTATCATTGTATAGTAAAAAATATAAAATTGAATACAGAATATCTATTGAACATTGATTGTTTTTTATTTCAATAATTTATCTTTACGAGAAAAAGCCTTAGTACCATGTTATAAAACAATCAGTCAAACGTTTGACACTATTTTGAAAATATATTTTCTCAATGCATACAAAAAACTGTATCTACACTAGTTTCTTATTCTTATTCAAAATAAATAATCTTTCCACCAATAACAAAACCCTAATTTATTTTTGACAGTTGCAAGGCTGTGACATTAAAGATTGGCTGAAGTCCAAAAGTTTCAATCTTAAGCCTGTACCTTACTGATCAACTGACATTGTTCTGGCAAATATCCACAACTTTTAAGTCTTTAAGGACCCATATTTATAGACGCCAATTGTTGTAAAATGGTTCGTTTCAGTTAACTCGTAATTTACACGAACAATCTTAGATTCAATTGGATT